CCCTCCCTGCTTTTATTCAACATAGTACTGGAGGTCCTCGCCATGGCAGTCACACAAAACAAAGAAATACAAGGCATCCAGTTGGTAAGGAAGAAGTCAAACTCACTATTTGGAGATGACATGATATTGTACATTAAAAACCCTAAGGAATCCACTCCAGAACTACTAGAACTAATATCTGAATTCAGCAAAGTTGCAGCATACACAGAAATCTGCTTCATTCCTATACACTATTGATGAACTAACAGAAAGAGAAATCAGGAAAGCAATTCCATTCACAATTGCATCAAAAAGAATAAAATACCTAGGAATAAACCTAACCAAGGAAGTGAAAGACCTATACCCTGATAACTAAAAGACATTCTTAAGTGAAATTAAAGAGGACACTAACAAATGGAATTTCATCCCATGCTTTTGGCTAGGAAGAACTAATATTGCCAAAATGGACATCCTGCCTAAAGCAATCTACAGATTCAATGCAATCCCTATCAAAATACCAACAGTATTCTTCAGCAAACTGGAACAAACAGTTCTAATTCATATGGAACCACAAAAGACCCAAAATAGCCAAAGCAATCCTGAGGAGGAAGAATAAAGCAGGGGGGAATCTCGCTTCCCTACTTCAAGCTCTACTACAAAGCCACAGTAATCAAGACAGTTTGGTACTGGCACAAGAACAGACCCACAGTGGAACAGAATAGAGAATCCAGATACTAACCCAAACATATATGGTCAATTAATATATAATAAAGGAGTCGTGGATATACAAATGGGAAATGACAGCATCTTCAACAGCTGGTGTTGGTACAACTGGACAGCTGCATGTTTGAGAATGAAACTGGATAATTGTCTAACTCCATACACAAAAGTAAACTAGAAATGGATCAAAAATTCTGATCCTGCATATCTCCATGCCCCCACCCGATATTGTTGTCGTGTCTAACATCTTTATACATTGTGTGCCTGTTAGCATAGTTTCATAGTTAGTTTATTATATTGTTTCTTAATCATATTGGAAACAGAAGGAGAACTCACAAACAAAAACACAGTGACACCAGATTTACATTTACCTGTGTAGCACTGTTTGCCCCTGATCTTCATGATGTCATCTGACTTAGTGTTAGCAAATAGTGTCTTTTCATTTCAGCCTGAGGACTCCCTGGATGAATATTTGAACGCATATACACACATTTGAAAACAATAAACACTGAGAATGGGTTAGCTATCATGACAATCTTAAAAGGGGGAACACAAAAGAGTACTTGTCGCATGCTTTATGTAAGGATCAAGGACACCGACACTGGTCAGTGGGATCAGACACTATGTAATGGCAATAAAGTAATCTCATTAACATGTGGTCCTGATGTCTCACAGATCTGAGATCCAGTCATAGAGAGCCTACTTAATTGATCCATCTGGGCTTTTGTTTGCTGTGCTGCAAATATGGAAAATATTATCACCTTACAATCGACTTATCATGATGATTAAACAAAATATGCATTTTAATGATTAGTTAAAACCAGTCATGATTGACACCACTCCACAGATGAAAGAGTTTCATAACTTCCTGTGAATTCATCACATAAGAAATAAATGAAGCTTGGTTGTATTAAGAAAATCCTTGTGAGTATGTGCTGCTAAAAGAACCATGCACAGAACATCATGGTAGAAAAAGATGGAGATAAGAACACTTCTTAATGCCAGAGACATGGGCAGACAGACTCACAAGCTGCAGTGAACATCACAGGAGGACTTGGAATTTCACTGTAGCAACACTAATACACAGAATTCAGAGAGCAGGTAGGGAAAAACAAAATCAGGCATAGAAAAAGACTCGAGGAAACAGAAAATGAGACTGGGAGAAGATTGGTATCAGTGATGAGATATCCAAATTAGAACTTTTAAGGACACCTATTTTACAGACCCCGTGAATGCCCATTACAATGGGATTGAATTAATGGCACCAAGGGCTGCCCTTGGCTCTGAATATTTTCTGAAGAGCACGTTTCACATCATTATTCCTCAGGCTGTAGATGAAGGGGTTCAGCATGGGGGTGACAACCGTGTACATCACAGAGGCAATGATGTCCTTGTCCTTGGAGTCAGCTGATGAGGGGAAGTAGTAAACACCTGCAATTGTCCCATAGTATAAAAGCACTACAGAGAGGTGGGAGCCACATGTAGACAAGGCTTTGGAGATTCTTTTGAGGGAGGGGACCTTCAGGATGATGACTGCCATGCGGATATATGAGCCCAGGATCATACTTAATGGCAGGATGAAGACCAATCCTCCTACAATGAGTATGAGCAGCTCATTGAGGGAGGTGTCTGAGCAGGAGGACTTGAGCACAGCAGCAAGATCACAAAAGAAGTGGGGAATGATCGTCCCTGCACAGAAGGACAGCTGGTTCGCAAGGAGGGTGTGCAGGAGAGCCTGGGCACAGGAGGAGAGCCAGCACCCAACCACAAGGAGGATACACACCTCGTCCCTCATGATGCTGGTGTAGTGGAGAGGGTGACAGATGGCCACATACCTGTCATATGCCATCACTGCGAGGAGAAAGCTGTCAAGGGAACCAAACAATACAAAGAAATACACCTGAGAAATGCACCCGGAATATGTGATAGATCGGCACTGACTCTGCATGTTCGTCAGCATCTTTGGGACAGTGATGGATGCAAAGGAGACGTCAGAGAGGGCCAGGTGGCTGAGGAAGAAGTACATGGGGGTGTGGAGGCACGAGTCCAGCCTGACGAGCAGGACGATGAGCAGGTTCCCCAGTACTGTGGTCAGGTACATGCCCAGGAACAGGGCGAAGAACATGCCCTGCTGCTCCGGGGGGATGGGGAGCCCCAGGAGGAGGAACTCGGACACGCTGCTCTGGTTCCCAGGCCTCATGCTGGGCTGTTACCTGCTGGGGATAAGGGATGGAGAGGAATATGAGAAAAAACAATGGAGATACATTCCAAGTTACAACTTTTGTGAAATCAACAACTTTTAAACTACATTCCTCTTAATTTGTCCTGCCTGTGGGTGGTGCCTCATCATGTATCCCAGTCTGGCTCCAGGAATATATGTATACATGGGAATATTATATATGCCAAATATATGGAGCACACATGTGTGTGATATGTTATATGTATGTATATATCTCCATATATATACATATATATTGAAATTTGACTACAGTGCTAAATAAAATGTCTGTTTGTGTCTATGTGACTCTCTCCATGCAATTTTCTGTAAGTTAAAAATGACCAAATACTGGTTATTTCATGTAGCTCAATCTAATTTATTGAACAATTAATATTTATCTGGTAAATTACTATGACAAAGGAGTCAAGAATACACACTGGGAAGAAGGCAGTCTCTTTGTAAATGGTGTTAGGAAAACTATAGAACTACGTGCAAAAGAATAAAACTGGACCAGTTCTTACACTATACACACAAAAATAAACTGGAAATGGTTAAAGACTTTGTACAAGATGTAAAACCAGAAAACTCTTAGCAGAAAACACAAGCAGTAAACTCTTGGGTATTGGCCACCTGGATATGTCTCCCAGAGAAGGGAAGCGACAGAATAAACAAGTGGGACTTCATCTAAGTAGCAAACTTCTGCACAGCACGGTGCCTAACTTTCTTTGCCTGGATGGTAAGTGCACGTGAAGGGTCAGGAACCTGAGGGCCTCAGTCACACGCAGGTGTGTGACAGTGACAGGAGCTCCTCTTCAGGACAGAGTGCTGGGGCACCGGTTATCTCAGCTGGTGGTGCCCCACGAGGAGGGTGGGTAAGACGTACTGGAGATCATGGTTACAAGTTAGAAGCCTCCAACCATGCATGCACACACACACACACACACACACAGACACACACACACACACACATACACATTGCTGACTTGAGGATCCATTCACCTGTGTCCAATGTGTCAAATTCCCTTCTAAGGGGAGGAACGCCAGTATATGCCTCATTTGTAAATGCTCACATGCATACAAGTCATAAATTACACACAAGCTAACACATGCACAATATGCAATAATGTGTCACCCACAAATACACTCACAGTGCACCACTGACACACAAGCACCACACATCAGCTAAAACACACAACTCACACACCACAAATACCTAATTCATCACTATACATGCATGTCAGGGAAAACACACAAGGCCTCACACAATAGAAAACACTCACAAGAAACCCACTCCAACTCTCATGCACACCCACCACACACTCACTACAACAAATGGTGTGCACACTCCCATCACTGAGAGGCAAACTTTGGCCCCTTACATGCCCTTCCTGGGGAGGCCGTCAGTGTGGGACAGTTAAGCCTCTTCTGTCACAGTCACCATCATTAAACTACTGCCAGCATCCATGCACATAGTAATACACTCATGGTGCAGACATCCAGAGGCCAGCACACAGGACATGTCCTGCTCTCACACCTGGATGCACCCCACACAGTGGCACAGCTTTAGCACCCACTGCGAGCAGAGGTGTGAGCCCTCTGACCCTGTTCCTCAGCAGGTTGGGAGGCTTCTTCTCCCACAGAAGAGACAACAGTCTTACCCCCACTGCTGGGCTCTGACTGGCTCAGCTGTGACCTGCCCAGTGGGGAAATGTGCCAGTCCTGACAACAGGAAGCAAATATTGAGGCTCACAGGCATGAAGCAGGAGTCAATAGTCGCATGCTGGGAGGCAGATCACTTGGTGTGCATGTGCTAAAGAGGGCCCAGATTGAATCTAACTCGGGAAAAGAATCAGCCTGTAGTCAGATAGTACACACACAGAAACACCCAGACACACATGCGTGCACATGCTACTGTCCAAACATACACAGTAATGCATGCACACACCCACACTCATACACACAGATATTCATACGCACACCCTCAAGCACAAACCCAGATCCACTGCGAAGTGTACATTTCCAGCACCTCTGACCTGTTCCACTCATCTTTGCGTGTAGACACCTCTTCCAGAAGTGGCCCAAATCCTCATTTTCTCTTCACGGGAAAGCAGGAGCCATCGTGGGTTAATTGGCCAATTTCTTACCTCCAGTCTGGATGAGCGTGTCCAGGGAGAACTGAAGTCACAGGAGACGGTGTCCCTAATAGGGATGTTTCGAATCCATATTTCCTGGGCACGGTTCCAAGCTCAAACTTTTCTTGGCTAGGGTCCTGCTGTGACTCATATTTACATTTAATTTTTAAATGATTTCATGCTTAGAAAAGCTGTAAAGATGATAGTAGGAATTTCTGAACCACCCTCACTGACACTCCATGAAGGGTAATATTTTACTAATTTACATTTTGTGTATATGGCAGGGGGTCGGGGTTAGAGATTCAGGCTGTAGACCTTTGGTAGGCATACCCCAGTGTGTTATCAAAAGACACATTTCTTTCAGTTGTCAGAAGCTCTCCTCTCTTCACTCAGGAAGAGAATTTAAGAGAAAGTTTGTTATTCATACACAGAACTCCTGGGGAGAGCTGAGTGGGTGCAGGAGGTCGAGTAGGTTTGGTGAAGCAGAGGGAATGGTATTGGGACTTTGTAGTGGTTAAGGGAGGTGCTGGGGAAATTTTGCTGGAGAAACACATCATGTACAGCGGCAACCGAGCATATTGCCTGTGTTCCTTATCCACATATAGGATAAAACACACAAAGGAGACAAATGCCCCTTGACCGGCCAGCAGAACACCTGAGGCCAGGGGTTATCAGCAACCACACCTGCCACAGAGCCCTGCCTCTCACTCCAGGCTTTCAGGGCGGCGGCTGCTCAGATCACATATTTGCATAATATTTTGCATGTTTTGTGACTGGCATCAATGATTTCACTTGGTTGTGTAACGTTGTGGCCTCCATGGAGGCACCAGGACCCCCAGTCAGTCAGCACAATAAGGGCGATGGAGCTTGAATTGAACGCGGGCTGGCTGGTGAGCATAAGGCTGATGAGCTTTAAGAAGCAACGTGAGTGCTGGTCACTATCAGCACTGCCTAGAACTCCAGAAGGGATGAGGCATGTTTCCTGAGGCCCCGTGTTGTACCTTGGGCAGTGTCAGGAATGGTGGGGTGGGCACGATGCCAGTGGAGTCACCTGCCAAGGTCAAGGCATTCTTCAGAGGCATGTCAGTTTGGCCTCAATGACCCAGAAACTGTGTCCACATCACTACGTAATCCCCATGATGCCACCCCAGTGATCACACACCTAGTGCTGTGCCCTCGCACACGGGGGCTCAGGCTTGTTGCCAGGAGGACCATGGCGGAGGAGAGGGAATGCTGTCTGCACGCAGTCCGGGGCCGAAGGGTGGAGGCTCCTCCGGGACCTGATGTTTCACATGCCTACTGAGCCAGAGGGAAAGAAATGGAACATGGACTGTGATCTTAGGAAGTTTGGGACTTGTGTCTATCCATATATGTTTATAATAATCACTTTAAGCATAGATTGGGCCTTAGTAGTCTGAATCATTGTGTGGACAAAAAAAAAAGGCAGGGCTCTGTGGCAGGTGTTGTGTGCTCTAAATCTGTATCTCTGGTATTTGAGAGGCAAGGAATTCTCAGAGTTCTTTACCAAGAAAAGTAAATCATGAATAAGAAATCATTGTGACCATTGGTAAGGACACATGGCTACACCACTGGCAATGGCCAACAGCTGAACACGTGAAATGGGGTCAGTTGTTGGCGAGGGCATCTTCTGATGTCAGCATGTTTGCCTGGGTTTGGCCAACTGCACTGAGCCTTGAGGACATCCTAGTTGAGGGATGAAAACGAGCTTCCGTCCACCAGCCTCCATCAGGGTGCTGGTGGCACTCTGTTCAGAAAATATCTGAACTCACTTTGAAGTTCATTTCATTGAACCCAAAGGCTCCCAGGAATCCCAGGGATCAAGGAGAGGGGTGGCCTCCTGTGGCACTGTGACATCAGAAGTGATTTTTGGCCAGGGAGGCGGCCTCCTACAGGGGGGATATGCCCGAGGCTCAGGTTTGCTCCATCCTGTGGTTGCCATCTCCATCTAACTGGGTGCACCCCACGTCTGTGCTGAGCTTGCCAGGTGCTGCCTCCATGACCAGGTCACAGTGGCCAAAGGTGTGCAGAGCATCACATGTTCAGGACTTTTGAGAATCTCAGTCTCAGTGAGAGCCCCGTTTGCAGCCAGCAATGGTTGCTCTGATGGTGTGCGGCATGGGGCCTTAGGAGACAATCTTCTAGATGAGAACCCCACAGGCAACTCTTAGCCATTATGGGTCATCTTTAAACACTAAAGAACATACTAGGTCATGTCCTGAGCTTTAATTGCAAAGGGGTCTCCAGGAGGCACTAAGGGAAGTGTCTGTATCATGACCATCTTTCATAACCCCAGTGCCTTCTACTGTAATGGGCCCCATTCCAAGCGGGCTGATTGCTGGTGGTCATGTAAATAGGTCTCAGTACTAATTGTAAATGGGAAATATGCCACCTGCCGAAGCCTAAGTGATCTAACAGGTGTCAGCCTGCTTGAGAGCTGACAAAGACGGGAGTAGGCTTTAAACTCTATCAGATATGCAGTGTCCCTCAGTGGATCAGATGGTGCTTAAGAATTTAACTGGAGTGGCAGGTCCTTGAACCTTAGGTGGGGAGTATGCCAGTCCCTTTGGGAAAGGCCATAGCAAGTGTTTGAGTAGCTTGTATGTGTCTAGTCAATCTCCTCCTAAGAGGATGTGATCCATGTATTGACACCCCTGGGTGCCTGGGGACAGCTAGATCTCCTCAAGCCTTGCCAGCTGGAGGTGTGTGTGTGATGAGTGGACTGTTGAGGCTCCCCACAGGCACCCAAGTACAGGTGTATCATGTCCCTTCAAAAGTGAATGTAAATTGAAGCTGAGAGGCTGTTAAAGTTGGCTCTTAATGTGTGTGGCCATGTAAGAGGTGCACCTTTAACTGCCCAGGACTTGTCAGTGAGGACGGAATGGCCTTGGTCATTTCAACCCTGTTATGTAGAGGAGACTTAGTGGATGGGACCCCAGCGTGAAGGTTATTGTATCCAACACAAGTGACCATTCGTACATCCAG